TTTTATCATCTTTGGTTAAAACATGAGCATTGACCTCCGGAACCACTAACTTTTTAGTCGGATCCATTCGCCATGCCGATGAGTTATCCACCACTATGGTGCCAACTTCTGCAAATTTAGGAGCTAATTCTTTGGAGGTACCGCCCCCTGCCGAAAAAATGGCAATATCAGGTTTTTGAGCAATAGCTGTTTCATAACTAACTACCTCATAGTCTTTTCCTTTAAAATTTATTTTTTTTCCTACCGATCTTTCGGAAGCTACCGGAATTAATTCCGTTACCGGAAAGTTTCTCTCTTCTAATACTTTTAATATTTCTCCACCAACCAATCCGGTGGCTCCTACTACTGCTATTTTCATGATTCTTTACTTTTTTTTTATGGATTTATTTTTTAATTAGGAATATCCAAAATTCAAATATTTTCAGAATGATAGATATTCAATAAATTAGATTATTTTAATTAGTTAATAAATTGATTACTAATGGAATGGCTCTTGATATGCATAGAACAGCTAAAATAATAAAGACTACCATCATACCTGAAATATGGGATGATTTTTTGACTTTAGCATTAAAAACCGTTATAAATAAAACGGCTAAAAGACCACTGGATAAATGTTCAATAAAGGTAACTTTTCCACCTATTTTATAACTTAGGTCACTGAATAGATTAGAATTAATCATAATAAGGACTAATCCCATTAAAATTTGGATATGAAAAACCATGGTGGTCCAATAGGTTAATTTTCTGAATTTAGGGGTAATGGGTTGTTTTTTGAAATAATCTATTAAACTTAATATTAAAGTAACAATACCTAAAATAATGACCAATATAGCCCAATAACCGTGAATATTAGCAATAGTCGGATACAAATTTTCCATGATGTTTTTTTGCAAAATTAATCATATTTTTTTAATAAAATAAAAAAGCCTTTATTTAAAAATAAAATAAAGGCTTTAATTTTTTTTTAGTAGACAGTTGGCTACTATGATTTAGCCTTTTCTATCATTGGGGCTAAAACTTTTTTCCAAATGTAAAGAACTAATAAAGCTCCTAATATAGCATATACCCACCACCATAAAGAATATTGATCGGTAGGATAAATCATGTCACCAATCCAGTTACCCAATAAAGCACCTACAATACCGATTAACATGGTCACAAAAAAACCTCCCGGATCTTTTCCAGGCATTATCCATTTAGCTAAAGCACCAATTACTAAGCCTGCTAAGGCCATCCATACGTAACTCATAATAATAGTTTTTAAAATTCAAGTCAAAGATATAGATTATTTTTTATTTCACAAGAAAAAGTTAAAAAATAATAAATATTTTTTGCAAAAATTTCTTAAAGTATAGTTTCAAGGGATAATTTTTAATAAAAAATATACTCAATTTAAGTACCTGATTATTTAATTTTTTCATGTATTTATTTATGTCATAATTTATTATAACTTTGCATATATAAAACATTAGAAGTCTATGGAAGAACTACAAAAATATGTATCGGAAGAGCAAGATCCGAAGACCGTTGAAAAAATATTAGAAAGTTCCAAAGGTATCATTATGCCAAATGAAGAAATTATATATATATCTTCTCAAAAAAAACCTGCAGTTAATTTATTTCCCGATAGCATTATTTTAACTGATAAAAGGTTAATACTGTGTAAACCTAAGCATTTAGGGCTATCTATGGACTTCACAGATTATAATTGGAGAGATATTAAAACCCCGAAGCTAAAAGAATCTTTATTAGGGTCGGAGTTTTCTTTTTATAATGCTAATGACGAACCGGTGTCTATTAATTATATTCCAAAAATTCAAGCTAGAAAATTACATGCATTATCTCAAAATCAATTGGAAAATCACCGATTAGAAAATAAAACGCAACATATTAATATATTAGATGATGATAAAGTTACCGTTCCTTTAGAAACATCTGATATTACTCTTCCAAAAGAATTGTTGGAGAAAGAAAATACATCCGGTTTGTCTAAAGATGAATTAATTGAAAAACTGCAGAAATATAAAAAATTATTAGATGACGGTCTTATAACCGGTGAAGAATATAATAATTTGAAAAGTCAAATTATTAATAAGATATAATTTTTAGTTTTTAACTGCTAATCCTGATAGTTTTAGACTAAATATATGAATTTTCAACGAAATAATTTAGATAAAGAGACTAGCCCCTATTTACTACAACATAAAGACAACCCGGTATGGTGGCAGCCGTGGAATAAAGAAGTATTGGAGTATGCCGCTAAAAATAATAAACCGTTATTAATTTCTATTGGTTATGCTGCCTGTCATTGGTGTCATGTCATGGAACATGAATGTTTTGAAGATGAAGAAGTCGCCCGGCTGATGAATGCTCATTTTGTATGTATCAAGATAGACCGTGAAGAAAGACCGGATGTAGATACCGTTTATATGAATGCGGTTCAATTATTGACCGGAAGCGGAGGTTGGCCCCTTAATGTATTTGCATTACCCAATCAAAAACCTTTTTATGGAGGGACTTATTTTCCAAAAGATAAGTGGAAACACTTATTGCAAACCATTGCCGAAAAATATCAAACCGAAAAAAATCAATTAGAACATTATGCTACTGATTTACAAAATGGTCTTTCCCACATGGAATGGATTGATATGGAACAAAAAAACAGTGATTTATCTAAAACTTGGTTAAAAGAACTGATTGAAAAATGGAGTGGTTATTTTGATAAAAATTGGGGTGGGAGTGGGCAAGCTCCAAAATTTCCACTGCCGGGAGCATGGGGATTTTTATTAAGATATGGTTTTCAAACTAAAAATATTCCGGTTTTAAATCAAGTAGAATTAACTTTAGATAGAATGGCATGGGGCGGTATTTTTGATGTGGTTTCCGGCGGTTTTTCTCGCTATTCCGTAGACCCATATTGGAAAGTGCCTCATTTTGAAAAAATGCTATATGACAATGGACAGTTATTATCTCTCTATGGCAATGCTTATAAAGCATTTCATAAACCTGAATATAAGCAAGTATTTAAAAAAATAGTGAATTGGTTAAAAGAAGATATGCTAAGCCCGTCCGGATTATTTTATGCTTCTTATGATGCCGATTCGGAAGGAGAAGAAGGGAAATATTACACTTGGAAGATAGAGGAATTAAAAACTATTCTATGCGAAAATTATGCTTATTTTGAGACTTATTTTAATGTCGGGAACTTTGGAGCATGGGAAGAGCAAAATATTTTAATCCAATTAGAGAAGACAGAACTGATTGCCGGAAAATTAAATATAGACCGTTTAGAATTAGAAAAAATTATCGGTAAGTGTTTAAAATTATTAAAAACCGAAAGGGATAAAAGAGTAAAACCAAATCTGGATGACAAATGTTTAACTTCATGGAATGCATTGACTATTAGCGGTTTATTGACTTTAGCCAAGGAAGATGATTTGCAAGAAAAATTAATGACTTTGAGTAAAAATGCTTTAGATTTTTTATTGACTAAGCAATGGCAAGAACAAACTGTTTATAGAAATTATAAGGATGGTATATCAAGTATTCCCGGATTTTTAGATGATTATGCTTATTTATTAAAAGCCTTAATAGACTATTATGAAGTGAGTTTTGAAAAATCTTATCTATGGAAAGCCAAGGAGCTATTAGGACTTATTCAGTTTAAGTTTTATCATCCGAAAATGCAATTATTTCAATATACCTCTTTATCGGAAACTCCTTTGATTATAGATACTTTTCCTATTCATGATTCTGTTGAACCGTCTGGTAACTCCATAATGGCAGAAAATTTATTTCGCTTGGGGAAATTATTTTCAGAGGATAAACTTATGACTCAAGCCGAAAATATGTTGCACATAATCTCGCCTAAGATTAAGGATTATCCTCAAAATTATGCAAATTGGCTTAATGTGGCTATGGACTATATTTTTCCTTATTATGAAATTGTGATAATGGGGGGAAAGGCAAATCAATTAAATGCCGAAACAAAGTCTTATATCCCGAATGCTGTATTGGCAGGTTCAAAAAATGAAATTTATTTAGAGATTATGGAAAATAGATTGGTGGAAAATGAAACTTTAATTTATATTTGCAAAGACAAAAGCTGTAGCTTACCGTCCATTTATCCTCCAAAAGGAGAAGAATTAAACTTTTAGATACAAAAGTTTATTCAGAGGGTGTTTTATTAAAATGATAAACTAAATTATTATGATAGATTTTTTACAATTAGATGATATTAGGGCATCTAAAACAACAAGATTTTTAAATTATTTATTGGATTTTATTTTTGTAATGATTATTATATTTATAATCTCTACGGCTTATTATATTATAGATGAAGAAAGTGCAGATGCTTTTTTTACGGAAATAAGCAATAACTCTTTTATGGATAGAGTATTAACCGCCATAACATTTATTATATATTATTTTATAACCGAGTATTTTTTAGGACGGTCATTGGGGAAATATATTACAAAGACTATCATTATTACTGAAATGGGTACTAAACCTACTGCCTATAATATTTTTATAAGAAGCATTTCAAGAATAATAGGTTTAGAAGCCTTAGTATATTTATTTTCAGAGAGTTTATGGCATGACTCATGGTCTTCTACCATGGTGGTTAAAAAGAAGGATTTTGAGAGGTTAGAATCTGATAATATTGACAAAATAGGAATAGAAATAAATAGTTAAAGATTATGAAATTCCCAAAGCCATACACCCTAAAAGAAATCGCTAATCTTATAAATAGTGAGTATGTAGGTCAGGATAATGCCGAAATTTTAGGGACTAATGAAATCCATCGGGTAGAAAAAGGAGATATCGTTTTTGTAGATCACCCAAAGTATTATGACAAAGCCTTAAATAGTGCTGCCACTACTATTTTAATCAATAAAAAAGTAGATTGCCCGGAGGGAAAATCTTTATTAATCAGTGATGATCCTTTTAGAGATTTTAATAAAATCAATCGTTATTTTAATGCATTTATTCCAAGTTCTACGACTATTTCTCCCACAGCCAAAATAGGAGAACACACCATTATTCAGCCCAATACTTTTATTGGCAATCAAGTCATTATCGGAAAAAACTGTATCATTCATTCTAATGTTTCTATTTATGACGGCACTATTATTGGCGATAATGTGATTATCCATGCCGGTACTGTTTTAGGTTCAGACGGGTTTTATTACAAAACAAGACCAAATGAATACGATAAATTATTATCGGTAGGGAATGTGGTCATAGAAGACCATGTAGAAATTGGAGCAAATTGTACCATAGACAAAGGGGTTACCTCTGCCACCCGAATAGGGGAGGGGTCAAAATTAGATAACTTAATACAAGTAGGGCATGACACTATTATTGGGAAAAGATGTTTAATAGCTTCTCAAGTGGGGATAGCAGGGTGTTGTATCATCGGAGACGAAGTCAAAATATGGGGACAAGTGGGGATTAAAGCGTCTATTGTGATAGAAGATAAAGTTGAAATCTATGCCCAATCGGGTGTTGGTAAGGATTTAAAAGAAGGTAAGACCTATTTTGGCAGCCCTGCTGATGATGCCAGATTAATGATGAAGCAATTAATTTTTCTTAAAAAATCTGTTGAAAATCATAAATAAGAATTGAAAATTAACATTTATATTTGTCACATTAAACATTTTAAATCATAATTCCATGTCAGTATTAGTCAATAAAGATTCAAAAGTAATTGTTCAAGGTTTTACAGGAACGGAAGGCACATTTCATGCTGAACAAATGATAGAGTACGGAACTAATGTAGTTGGGGGCGTAACACCGGGAAAAGGCGGTACCACCCATTTAGGTAAGCCTGTATTTAATTCAGTATATGATGCTGTTCAAGGTGTTGGAGCCAATGTAAGTATTATTTTTGTACCACCTGCTTTTGCGGCAGATGCTATCATGGAAGCAGCAGATAATGGCATAAAAGTGATTATCTGTATAACGGAAGGTATTCCGGTTGGCGATATGACAAAAGTAAAAGCCTATATTAAAAATAAAGATTGCCGTTTAATAGGACCTAATTGTCCGGGTGTTATTACGCCAGATGAAGCCAAAGTAGGTATAATGCCGGGATTTATCTTTAAAAAAGGAAAAATAGGGATAGTATCCAAATCCGGAACACTTACCTATGAGGCAGCAGACCAAGTGGTTAAAGCCGGTTATGGTGTTTCTACAGCCATTGGTATTGGAGGCGATCCTATTATTGGAACTACTACTAAAGAGGCCTTAGAGTTATTCATGAATGACCCTGAAACGGAGGCAGTAGTCATGATAGGAGAAATCGGCGGACAATTAGAAGCCAAAGCGGCTAATTGGTATAAAGAAAGCGGACAAACTAAACCTGTCTTTGGGTTTATAGCCGGTCAAACTGCTCCAAAAGGGAGAACCATGGGGCATGCCGGAGCCATTGTCGGTGGAAAAGATGATACCGCCCAGGCTAAAATGGAAATATTAAACAACTGTGGTATCATTGTCATTAACTCTCCTGCAGATATTGGCGAAACCGTAAAAAATACATTGGGATAAATTATTTGGATTGAATGATTATATTAGGATGGATTGGTGAAATCATAGCAACTATTATAGTGGAAATAGTTTAAAAAAAATATTTTTTCGCTATTTTGGATAATAGATAAGGCTAAAATAATCATTTCTCAAATGACAAAATAGTTAGAGTTATTATATAGCTAATAAATAAAATTTACTCCATCAAAGCAATCGCTTGTTGCATAGCGGCAGGTGTAATTTCTGAACCGCTAATTAGACCTGCGATTTCTTTCACTCTTTCTTCCCGAATTAATGGAATAAGCATCGTTTCCGTTTTTCCCTGATTTTCGGTTTTAATCACTTTATAATGAGTTTTTCCTTGTGCTGCGATTTGAGGGAGATGTGTAATAGCCATTAATTGAAGGGATTCTCCTATTTCTGACATCATTTTACCCATTTCATTGGCTATTCTTCCCGAAACACCGGTATCTATTTCATCTAAAATTAAAGTAGGTAAATTATCATTTTCTGCCATTATTTTTTTAATGGCAAACATAACTCGTGATCTTTCTCCGCCGGAAATGGCTTTTTTAAGAGGTTGTAAAGAAACACCGGAATTAGCTGAAAATAAAAATTCTATGCGGTCTGTTCCAAATTCATTAAACATATCGGAAGAATTAATTTCAATCTTAAAATTAGCATTTTCTAAGCCTAATCTATTCAATAAATCTATGAGGTGCTTTTCAAAAGATAATTTATTCTCAATTCTTTTATGATTTAATTTTTGAGATAGTTCTTCTAAAATGTTTTGTTTTTCTGAAATCTGAGATTTTAATTGAATTATTTTCTCCCTCAAATGATCAAAATTTTCATTTTCAGAACTGAGCTTATGTTTTATTTCAATTAATTCTTCAATGGATTTAACTTGATGCTTGTCCATTAATTTATTGATTGTGTCTACTTGATTTTGAATTATCAATAGTTGTTCCGGATTATTATCAATATAATCTTGAAGATTATTTATTTCTTTTTCAACATCAAATAAATTTTCCTTGATGAGTATAGTCTTATCCAAAATAGATTGAATAGATTGCGTTAAGCCGGAAATTTTATTGAGCTTAGACTCCACTGAATTAATTTGATGGCGAAGCCCTATTTCATCTTGTGATAAAGTAACATAGATTTCAGAAAGAATGGACTTGATTAAATCTGCATTAGATAATTCATTTAATTGATTTTCTAATTCCTGAAAATTGATTTTTTCTAATTCTATTTCATTTAATTCTTTTAATAAATAATCCTTATAATCAGAATCTTTGGCACTGTTTTCTAATATAATTTCTGCTTTTTTAAGTTCGGTTTTTAATTGATTATAGTTTTTATAGGTTAATTGATATGTCGCTAATAATTCTTTATTTCCTACAAAAGCATCCAAAATTTTAATCTGAAATTCCGGGTTTAAAACTTGTTGGGTATCAAATTGCGAATGAATATCAACTAATTGATTTCCAAGTTCTTGTAAAATATCTAAGGTGACAGGAGAATCATTAATAAAAGCTCTACTTTTGCCGGAAGACAAGATTTCTCGTCTTATTAAAGTTTCTTTTTCAAAATCTAAATCATGTTCTAAAAAAAAATCTTTTAACTCATCTTTTATCAAAAAAGTCCCTTCAATAGAACATTTATTTTCCGTATTAAGAATTGATTTTATATCAGCTCTTTCTCCCAGCAGTAATTTTAATGCACCAAGAATAATTGATTTTCCGGCACCTGTTTCTCCCGTTATTGTAATTAATCCATGAGGGAATGAAATATTTAATTCATTGATTAGGACAAAATTTTTAATCGAAAGATTTAAAATCATAGTTTAATTTTTGAATTTATCCCAATATTCGCTACCATTCATAGGGGATATTCTTTTTAAAACTTCTTTTAATTTTTGGATATTAGTGGTAGAGGGTTTTCCTCCGGAAAAAATATCTGTCATTTCCGATTTTTTTGACTCAATAAATAAGTTTAAGGGATAAAACTGAAGATTATTGTCATATTCCTCTAATAATGTTAATGAATTGGCCATATTGGTTTTGGCTTGGCTTTCATTTTCAACCATTAAATCTAAGCCTTGCCTGTGATAATTATACCAAATATTTCTCAAGGTATTATTTTGTCCTTTTGTGATGTCGGCAATCAGAGCAGAACGAGAATTAAGTCCATCAAAAATACTCCATCCGGGATAGCCACTTCCTTCAGCATTAGAGGATATCTTTAAAGCCTCATCAAAATAAATCTGACCACCATTTAAGGCAAAACTATCGCCATCAATCCCTAAGATAAGATAGATATAATAAGCAATAACATCTGTTAAATTATCGCCACTAAATTTCCGGTTATTAAAAATAAGAGGTTCAAATTCAACATATTTAAATGTAAAATTTTTATCATTAAAATTAAGCATTGGTGTCCCATAAGCCGTATTATAAACAGGTCTTTGTGATTGGACTATTAAGCTGGCCGAATATGAATTATTTTCTAATTTTTCATTAATAATCAATGTAAACGATGCTTGTATTTTTTCTACATTGGAATACGTTTTACCGGTCCATTTTGTATTATTAATATATTTCGCTAATTCTTTTTGCAAAGTATTAAAAACCTGATTATTAGAGGTTTGGACTTGTGCATAATTAACATTTACTTCGGCTTGAATTTCTTGAGCATATGAAAATATAATGCCTAATAATAATCCAATAATATAATATTTTTTCATATTCATCTGTTTATTTTTTTAATACACAAATAGTCTCTTAATAGTTTGGAATACAACTTTATTTTATCAATAAAATCCGAATGATTTACGAATATCAAAGCTAAGACCATCCATGATGCAAATATAATGATTTTTTGAAACAATAATGAGTAAAATTAGGCAATTATAATTTCATAGGTTGGAATTATAGATTGATTTTGGTAATTAATTAAAATGTTAAAAAATATTTGATTAAATCATTGGTATAGCTTAGTTTTACAAAAAAAATATAATTAACCCCCTTAAATTATTAGATATGAAACGATTAACAAAATTAAAACCTATAATACTTTTATTTATTCTTTTAGGAATAAGTGATTTTACTTATGCTCAAACCGGAGAAGTATATAAAAAGAATGATATTAAGCTCTTAAATTATTAGATATGAAACGATTAACAAAATTAAAACCTATAATACTTTTATTTATTCTTTTAGGAATAAGTGATTTTACTTATGCTCAAACCGGAGAAGTATATAAAAAGAATGATATTAAGCCCATTGATTCCACTTATTTTTCTAAAGACCGACTAAAAGGTCGGGTGCTTATCATAACGGGAGGTGCAAGAGGTATTGGTCGGGCATCTGCTATACGGGCTGCCAGAGAGGGGGCTACGGTGGTTATTGGCGATTGGCTCTCTAAGGAAGGAGAGGAAACTGCACAATACATTCGCAATGAAGGTGGCAAAGCTTTATTTGTTAAAACAGATATTCGCAATACGGAAGAATGTAATAATTTAATTGCTCAGGCTGTTGCTAAATATGGAAAAGTAGATGGAGCTTTATTAAATGCAGGAGTTATGGATGGCACATTTTCAGGCGATTCTTTAAATTATGACAAACAAAAGAATTTATTGCCGACCTCTGTAGATGCAGCAACCGATGAATATTGGGATAATGTTATGGACATCAATGCCACAGGAACTTTTAAGTCTATGCGGGCGGTTCTCAAGCAATTACTTACTCAAGGAAAAGGAGGGGCAATCGTAACCGTTGGATCCATTGCCGGATTAACCGGATTAGCGGGCAATCCTGCATATGTGGCAAGCAAACATGCCGTAAACGGATTAACCAGAAATGCGGCTATTGATTATGCTCCTTATGGAATTCGTGTAAATTCCGTTAATATGGCTGCAACCGAAACGCCTATGACCGATAAAGCTTTTGAGTTTGTAAAAGAAGTTAAGAAACGAGGCATAAAAGGAATGGGAGGAGCCAAAACAGAAAGCATCCTTATGATGAATGATTCTAAACACAGAATGGCGACCGTTTGGGAACAAGCTGCCGTTATCTTATTTTTACTTTCCGATGAAGCCTCAAATCTTACCGGAGCATTATATCCTACAGACGGAGGCTGGACGGCATACTAAATTATACTGAATATGCGGGCTGTTAAAGTATTTTTTGTCTTGTTATGTTTTATTGCAGGTGGAAAAGCCCTTACTCAGGTGGGGCAAACTTTTTATGAGGGAGAAAGAATTACCTCAGTAAAATATGTTTTTGAAAATCCACCTCAGGATTCGTTAACTGCCCAAAATATTGAATTGACTGTAAAACGGACTTTTCCTGTTTTTCCGCAAATGACTGTTAATAATCTCTTGTTAGAAATCTATACCAATAAAGTTCAAAATCTTGAATCTATATCAAAAGCAGAATATGAGATATTTCCCTCTTTATTAGGAGGCGTTGAAATTACCCTTAAGGTAACCATTAGCGACCAAGCAAAAGACCAGAAATCCAAAAATGGCTTATTGGTAGATGGAAAAGGCTTTCCTTTGCTCTATCAAGATAATAAATCATTGCTGACTACCAAAATCGCCATAGCACAGATGCTTTATACCAATAATAATGCATGGTATGGTAGAGATGATGAGATGCTTAAAGGAAATCCTTTAGCCCATAATCCTGCTGGAGCAGGCTTTACGGCGTGGACAGAGGGCTGGGCTTCAGGCGGTCTATATGGCATTACCACACTTTCCTCTAAATATAATATGTATCTTTATGGGGGTGTTAATTATATAGTGAGTGGCTCGGTCGGTCGGGAACTTTTTACCGATAAATCTCGGGCCTATGCCGCTCTTGACGATGCTTATGCCGGATTTTTAGGGACGGTAAATTATCCTTCCGGTAATAGATTAACTTATAATTTCTCTTTTGGAAGACAACAATTCTCCGTAGGAAAAGGATTTATTATCCGAAATACCGCTTCTA